GAATTGCTGGAGGATGAATTGCTTCATTCCTCATCCGGATAACCTGGAATGATCAGGCAGGGTTCTTCGAAAATGCGCCGCTTTTTCACTAGCACTTGTTCCTGAGGGCTGAAATGGCCAATCTCCCATGTTGATTGGCCGTGTACGCCATGCTCCATTTCATCCCTGAGAACTGCGAAATCAGTTGAAGGATGCTCGACCTACACAAGCCCCCACTTGCTTCCTTTGCTGTCATTTTTATCCGCCCGAGAAAGTTGGTCCAGCCCCAGGTGGCATGTTATTTGTGCCTGGTTTCTGATTTCCAGTATTGGTCTGAGATGTGTTATGTCTGTACTGTTGCTCTGTGATGCCTTTAATTGAAAAATAAGGCACTTAAGCACGACAAATGCAGTTGACGACAGCACGAGCTCTTCGATCCTTTTCTAAATTAAAATCAGTACAAATGATGTTTTCGCGAAGGCATGCTGCGTTATTGTGAGGCAATCCTCATGGGAAGTTTCTCAGTGATCTCAACGGCTTTTTCTTAGCGCTGACTTGAATTGCTCGAGGGCATTTCTTCCGTTGACTGACACATCTCTCTCTCAGACAATTTTAGCCTGAAGTCTTCAAGGGAAAAACCGAATCAGTGCTAGGCGACTTTTAGCCGTTCATTTGATTCAACAAGGCGCTATTGTTCGTTCCTCACTACTGCTTGAGTATCAGTAAACATCATCACTGCCTAGAACCATGCCACTCACTGAAGGGCTATTTTGCGATTGCAGATTCTGCAGCCATTGCTTGCAAATATTAATTAGATGCTTATTGAATTATCATGTGAAGTAGCAAGCAGAAAAAGACTCAAAAAACCCCTAATTAAGGTCTGATTATTGTAATTTTATTGCATCTACTTAATGGCAATTGGCACGATAATTTGATGGTTACTGTGAAAGGAGCAAAGGTGTTCAGTGGTGCGGGAATGGCGAAAAAGCAAGGCGAACAATGGAAACCCACGAAATAGGGGCCTTATGCGGCACATGTGATACAGCTTCGCAACTTCACCAGGTAGATAAGTTGGAGTAGTCAAAGAGACTTCTCGCAACCAAGTGATACATGGGAGCCTGCGAGTTCAGTAACCAGGCCCGTAGTCACTGAGAGTGCGCCACTTTCGTCACCGAAATTGCGAGGTGGAGCGGCTAAAAACGCGTGACCTTCCGCAGCTTTGATGTTTTCAGGCTACGAGACAACGACTTACACCGTTTATTACCGTGCATGTCGCTTGCAGCGTTGTAGGACGATTTCTTGTGCTCGTAGCGAGGGTTATTAGCGTGTCGACTTTTGCTAACTCATGTGATTGCCATTTCTTGGACTAGTCGAGCTTCACGTCTATGGCTCCCTGCAGATTTAGATAGTGCGTACTTACGAGGTCGTCTTACACATTTTCATGACGTGTTCTTGAACCTTGGCTGCGATACCTACTTCTCAAAGGAAGGGGAGCAATCTGCCATTTATTTTCAATTTTGGACGAGCTTATCATGAGTAGAGCCGCAGAGACGCTCACCGACTAGAAACCGGCCACCCGCGAAGAGAGCCTTATAAGGGCACGCACCACCCGCGGATAGAGCCCCACAGGTGCGCTTAGATCTCTCTCCACGCCACACTGCTCCACCATATAAGAATCTGCATGTGCATATGCGTGGGGAGGACAGTCTGAAAGACGGGATCAGATTTGCGCAGCAGCACCTAAGGTCCCGGGAGCCAAATGGGGGTGGTTTCCCCGCGGACCCATTGGTTTTAAACACGGTATTCCTTATACTTTGCAGACGCAGAGTGTATCTTTGAATAGACAGAGTGGATTCAAGCGATCTCTAGCCTGTGACATTAGCTTAATCCTAGCTGAAGGCATCCAGATCGCAGCAACTGCGTCATTATGTCTAATGGCAGGAAGGAGGGGTTCTTTTTGCGTCACGTCCATACGCATATTGCTAAAGTGGATTTGTGACCAGCGTCAGTATTCAGAAAACTCGTTGTTAAGACGTTGTGGTAAGTAAAAAGCTGCTAATGCGTTCTCTGGTACGTGACCATGGAAGTCATGAGATTGGCATCTGCCCTGTACCTCATCTCTGAGCTATGGGAACGTTTGCCAGGTTCGTGACAGCATGTGGTTGGGGGGCAGTTGTAATATGAGCGTACTTCTTATCGCATCAGATGTCAACCAGTTAAACGTACCTTTCATGCACTCCTCGCCTGGTTTACTAATCTTCACGTCTAGTTTTCAACCTAGTCTTTACTCCCGTTCGATTCTGCTCCAAAGCCCTTTACTAGCTTTTTGCAGCCTTGCGTGACTGATGTCTGGGCTCTTCTCTTTCGAACCATCACTCTAACTAATGTAACTTGTCCAGTCTTTCCTGTTACTCACGTCCTTCCAGCCGGGACACATCATCGCTGGGCATTTTGCTTGAGAGGGAAGGAGTCATATCTGGGATGCTGAGAGGTTTTTGCCGTGAAAAAACCTCTCAGCATCCCAAATGGGTAGATTTCTCGCTGCTATTCTTTATTTCTCAGTGGCGGTGGGCACATAGGGTGCGCTTTTACCCCAGTTCCACGAAAGCCTTTGCTAGAAGAGTGTTGTAGGTTGTGGTGGGTAGAGAAAGGAGAAGCAGTATCGGGAAATGTCTTCCATCACGATGATGTGCTCCCCTTCCCCTTACCTGACTCCCAGCGGTGTTTTCTCTCGAACTAAGTTAATTCCAGGTACCCAGGTCATCTTGCCCAGATTCGCGAATCGCTTTTTATCAGCGTCTGGAGCGGCCAGAGCGAATTCCAGATATGTCTTTCTTTCGCAACGGATTTTGAGTATCCTTGGCCTATGCGCCTTGCTCTGTGTGCCTTATGCTCTCTGATCCTAGCGGCGTCCTTTTTTCCCGAGCATTGGTGTCATTCAGACGGTGTACCGCTCCCGACCTTTGATAAACCCTCGTGGCCCTCACTACTCACCACAAATTACAGTTTTGACCCATCTTCTTCCTAGGAACTTATCATTATCGCGAGCAGTCATATTAGGCAAGAAAAGTGGAACTAAGTAGAAACAGCCATATCAGCTGGGAGTTGATTGTGTCGTTCACGTGTGGCTGATCCCTTCTGTCTGAGACGACTTTTGCCGTCATAATAGGCTATTCATGAGCTCTTTTTTTAGCCCTCATTAATAGACTATGACATTCTTCACTCGCCCTTTAATCTTCTCATGTTCACCCACGCGGAAAACTCAACTAACCTGCCTAGGCCTTCTCCATAATCAGCTCTCACGAGCATAGTTCGCTAGTTTTTCGTTCCTATGTATGTCACGAAAATGTACAGGGCGATCTCAACCTATCACGTATGAATGCTGTATGATGGCAGAAGAGTGGGCTACATAGTAGAGGGAGTTGAGGTCATTTGGCCATCGGAGGCGCTGTTTATCTGCGGGGGGGGGGCATGTTGTATTATAATTGCTTCCTGGGTACCTTCGCTTACAAAGTCCTCACATCTGGTAAAATATGATCAATGCTTGTGTGAACGGAGGCAAGAACTCGTTCAGCTAACCATCGGACTATAAACGTGTCCAAGCTCGACAAAACGGTTACCTGATAGTTGCAGAATCTGTGAGAAGCAGAATGCCCTCCCGTCGAATAAGCAAGCGCCGCATCTGGTCTAAGGTACTAGAAAGAGACGCGGTATAAATCTTCAGCAGCCATACTTCGATGGCTCCTTGAACGAGTGCGTCCCAGAGTAACAGCACTCAATTAAAAAAAAGACAGCCCGGGCTCATTTCGCTGGTGGCATACAAGGACTTTTTAACCATTAGTTCGCAGGTTTCCCCTTTCACTCGTGTACATCCTCCTCGCGCCGCCCGCCCTGCTGGGACTGCAGTTTCAGTTAAAGTCGCGCGAGCAAGGTAAGTAGGAGCGAGCTATCCGCTACTAAGCAGCAACAACTTCCACCCGCGCGCCCCCCACCGTGATGATGTGGCCTGAATGCCTACTTATAACCGCCCCCCAATTTCCGTTTAATCCATGCGGCGAGACTCACAACAGGCTTGCTTTTCCTCATATGCGCCGCCGCCCTCCTCTGCTCCTGGCCGTCACCAACAAGTAACAGTATGCACCATAGGCCTTTCACCAGGTCCGCATGACACTCTCCCGCCGCTGTACGTTGTCTTTCCGCGGAAATGTTGCTCTTCCCAGTCTTTCGCAGAGCTGATTAGCCGCTTTGCGTATCGCAATCCCACTGGGGCCTTCTGGATTCAGGATCTAGGAATATTTCAGATTTTAGGAGCTAATGCTCTCTTACATGGCTCCCACGAACCCGCCACATCCAAATACCAATCCTAACAAGAAAACACTCCAAAAAACCTCTTCTTAGAAGCCCTTGCTTGGGTTCTGCAGCGGATTTCACGAAGGATTCAAAGTGGCATGGGATTCCAAGGTGTATTTCTTTCCTCTCACTGTGATCAATATCACGTCCCCTTAATTCTTCTTGAGCAATTAATTCGATTAGACATGCCTGGCAAAAAAAACCCTGTGCAAGTCACGCACCCCAAAGTCGATCACGAAAGGGCCGTACCCGTCTTAATTCATCAGCTGATGCCATCTGCATGCACTTTCGCCCTGAGTAAATCAAATATAAGTAGGTGATCATTCATAGAATTGGTTCATTCCTCTCACGATTCTTTCCTGGCTACAGAAAGCCGATTCGCGACTGCCTACGCTGGTGTTTCATGAATTAGTACGTATGTTTCATTCTCTTAATGCTGTATGTATTACAACCTTTTGCTTCATTCAAACTTGAACCGTAATCGTCTTGCTTGTTGTCTTCCTTCGTCATTTGGGTGCGAATCGTCCTTTCATACGATGCTGACTCTTCTCCTTTCGCAACCCTCAAGCTTCTGCCATTTCAGATGACGACAGCCAGTCGTTTCCACGTCGCGCCATGTCCAACACTGACGAAATTCTGCGAGGCTCGCCCTTCACCGACGATGCGACGTAATGAAGAAAATTCGTGCCCTTGCACGATCCGTCCAAGAAATTACAGAGTCTGAAGAGGAGGACGATTCTCAGGTTCGTACAACTCATTTCGTGCGTTGAAGTGCAAAACTATTGACTTTTTATGCGTACTTGCGATCGTAAAACGGCTGGATGAAGTGGAAAAGGAACTAGAAAGGGATTTGTCCTAATAAGGTCTAGGAAATGGCTACTTCAGAATTTACCAGAAGTCCGAGCAATCTTTCATTTCAACTGCATGGTCACGCAAATAACCCATAATTTCCATCCTACTTGGCGAAAGGCGGTGTCCAGTTGCTCTCCGGGAGAAGCAGCGCATTTTACAGCCCAGTTGCAAAGTGAGTAAGCTTCGCACACCAGCGCCCGAGACAGGACGAGGGACTAGCCTGAGGGTTTGTCACATTCCCGATCAGAATATTATCAGCGACGGGTGAGAGTTGGGAAGTCCGAGCTGAATCCGAGCTAATTATAGCATTTTGGGTGAACAGTAAGATCCTGGGGCGAATGTCACGCACGCAGCTTTCCGTAGTCGCCGCAACCCGGATCTCCTGACAGCACCTCAACGATGATTAGTGGAGTATTTGAAAGTCACTTGTCTGGATTTGTGTTCATTCCTTCGCTGGACCTCGTTGCCGACCATTTTCCGGGATCTGTTAAAGAATCTCCAATGATATTTTCCCAGTTATCAACCGTATGAGCAAAATCAATCCTAATAAAAATATAGCAGACAGCGAAACTCATGTTTCCCTGCAAAAGGGTATATTTCTTTCTGTTCACCATTACCTCTTGAGAATTCTGGTGCTTTCGATCGTAAACTTACCACATTGATCAAAAGCAGCCCTTTCGAAAATGTTTCCATTTCGTCCCTCGTATGTCTGCAGAGCTCTTACCCCCCCCCCTCGTTGTAGCAGACCTTCTGTAGAACAAGCTGCTATTTTGGTAATTTCTTCTATCCCAGGACTTGATCCGGTAATTAAGCGTGAGAAACAGTATTTTGCTATCACACTGAGTCAGGACTGCAAATCTGCGCTTCTGAGAGTGTCCAAGCAGAAGCAAGGCAGAAATGAACAGACCCAAATTTTCAATTTTTAATTTTTTGTTTTCAGTTGTCTTCACCGCAATCATCTGTCCGCTCTCCATTTGCACTCGTTGAGTCTCCAATTCTACAAAGACGTTCTGTATCCCTCACTAGCCCCATAACGAAAAGGTTAGTTGGCTTTATTGTGATCAAATCAATGAAATTAGACCTCTCCTGAGAGAAGTGGATTCTTAGCAGTCATTGATATGCTCATCGAGCACGAATGTAGCAATGAATTTCCCGAAGGGACCACCCGGGGCGCCATGGAGCGGTGCTGTGTGGGATGGAATGGGCGAGCGACCACTGTAGCTAGCAGTAGTGGGCCAGGAAAGTTGCATGATTCTGAAAGAGAGGAACTGAGCAACAGCAGACGCTAGTGGGCGACAGGAGGCGAAAGTGAACGATAGAGTGAGACGGGTACAGGCAGAAACCAATGTTATTAGTAACAGGATTCCTTGTCTGGGACTGGGAGTTGAACGGGGAGGGGAGGGACCTGGTCGCTACGGATGTGCATCGCATTTTCGAGTTACTGCACCTCACACAAACCATTGGAGAAGTATAAATGCCTTGACACAATGCAGCAGCGCCACATCGGATGTATAGGATCTTGGTGCGAATGTCGCGCGCATAACCCGCTTGAAATGCCTCTTTCGATATGACTCAAAACTAACGATATACACCCGTTTTTGCGCGCCACACATCTCCTTTCCTACCCGTGGCCCTTGTCTGTGTTCTTTTTCTCGACATGAAAACAACACTTATCGATCTGACTGTGAAACAAAGGGTTGCAGCTTGACGCTGGTAGGTGGAAGATTTATACTAAGCATAATGGGCGGGGTTTTTGATAGGCTATATCAGCTGTCCTCCCTTCCTAGCATGCAAACTTACTCCGCTGCTTCCGGAGATCACTGACAGTTTTGATGTGGTCTATTGCGTATGCAATTTGTCTCACCACCTCACGGTTAATTTACAGCTTTTCTTTGCGGGCAGTTTTTCTGGTAGTTGGAGGTTCTTGAGTTATTTTGAAGCTCTGGATGATTAATTGTCGGCAAGCACCACTTATAAAATCTGAGGCGAGCAGGAATACCACATTTGAGTGGCAGTTTCGAGTAGTTTTCGAAGCCTTCAAACAAGATATCCCTTATTATGTTACATCTCTAGACAGAAAATAATTTTCACGGAACTTGTTTCCTCAGTGATGGGAAGATTCTAAAGAAATTCCGTTGCAGGCATTGCCCTACGAAGCGATTGTCTCGAGGTCTGTCCGATCCAGGTATTCGGCGTCCAAACTTTGGCTCCACCATTAGTCCGAAGATGGACGAAAGAAAATCCTAGGTATTTTTCTGTAATTTCAATCAAAATATCAGGATATAACTGACAATCAAACTTGTTTGCAGTTGTTCATACTAGTGTCAGCTACAATTAGTAACATTTGTTTGCACTTTGCGCGACGTATAACTTCGAACTGAGTGTCGCTACTGTAATGGAGTGAACTACGAATCAAAATCTTATCTTTATGCATGAATAATCGCTTCGTGGCGCCAAGCAAGTAATGGCTCTTATCTTAATGTGGATTGACTTCACGTCGCAAGTTTTAATGTCAACCTAGAAATGAAACTCCAGGAATACTAGTAGTAGGGGGGGATGATGAAACTGTTGGCGAGCAGGAGATAGTCTTAGTGATATTGTTTTGTGGTTTATTGAGTGAGTAAGGTAGTGAAGATAGATGGCATAATATTTTCGTAATATAGATCTACTAGAAATTTCTGTTTGTAGTTGTTTACCTAACGTCTCTGAAGAGCCCACCCGTGCACTAGAGAGTTCGGCGTGCCAATTCGACGGGCGGTGTGCGGGGGGGTGACATCCCGCGGTGCCGAATATATGGACATGAAAGAGGACAACGAAAACGACGTTTTCAATTCTTCCCAGAAATCGTGATCACTCGATATACCAGCGCGAACCACAAAATTTGAACGGCTCATTTTGCAGCATCGTTTGCTGTATACTGGTATCAGTGAGTACAGTAATTTGCATATGAGCTAAGGAATCCCGCGAATACTTAAGGCACAACAAAGCTCTGCCTACCTTAGAACCCGTCCATCGTCGATTATCGGTTGTAATATGAGCCTGTTTCACGGGTTTTCCACAGTATTTCTTGGGCTTTGTCAACAAGCTGTGTACTTTATTGGTGTTCAGTCGTTATTTTGACAAACAAATTACCGTCACCATTCTTTCCAGGTATTACACATGTCATTGGTAATGCGCTGTAATCATATATCTACTAGTTTCTCAAATATATCAGGTTGGGGAATAAGTTCTCGCCGTTCTTCTTTCATAGTCAGTTTCTGCAGCAACTCGTATTGCCAGCAGTAGGATACCGTTGTGAAAGAGTTTGCCAATTCTACAAGAGTTCATCAGCTTTTTTTTCAGATTCAAGCTTTCAAAAGTAAAATTCCGAGTGGCAGAAACTGCATTTTTGACATTTCAGGTCAGAAAGAGGTGAAGAGGCAATAGGAGGGTGACATTTGCGCCATGATCGGAGGGGGTGTCATTACGGCGGAG